CAGGTGTAAAGCCAGGAAGGGTGACTCCCTCTGCCAGATGGGCAAGAAGGTGACAAAAGAGAGAGGAGCCAGGCTCCAGTGTCTTCATGGGATTCAGTGCCACTGAATGAAGAATGAGAGTCCCAAATCCATCCATCTGGTCATCCTCCAGAAAATTCTCTTTGAGTGACTCCAATTGCCATAAAAGGCTCTGGGTGGCTCTTGTTCTTTTCTCCTTAAGGCAGCAGATAGAAACTTTTATCTTTGTTCCCTACACTGGGCGTAGCCCAGATCTCACAAAATATAGGAGTTTAGTATGCTCATTATGACTTCTAAAGCTCTCAGCTTTTTTCTTTTTTTAATGAAATGGAGTCTGTCCATGTTGCCCAGGCCACCTTCCAACTCCTGAATTCAAGAGTATCTGGGGAGAGGGGCAACACACACACACACACACACACACACACACACACATATACCTGAGAGCTTGGTGTAGTTTGGCATGCCTGTAATCCCAGCATTCTGGGAAGCTGAGACAGGAGGATCTATGAGTTTGAAGCCAGCCTGAACTACAAAGTGAGTTCAAGGCCAACCTGAACTGCATATGAAACCCTGTCTCAAAAAGACCAAAAAAAAAGAAAAAGTATCTGGGAAGCTCAACACATTGCTACACACCTGTAATCCTACCACTTGGGAAGCTGAGGCAGGAGGATCAAAAGTTCAAGGAGTATGCCACCATTCCCAGCTAAGCCCTCAGTTTTTAATGTACAAAAATAGCAGAGATAAAAAAAATAGCAGAGATTAGCCTGGGACCAAGTGTGGTCCTGTGTTCTGCATCTCCTGTGTCTCATAGTTGTTTTCTCTCTTTTTTTTTTTGTTTGTTTTGATACTGAGAATCAAACTCATAACCTCACACTTGCCAGGCAGGTGTTGTACCATAAGCTATATCCCTGGCCCTCATAGTCATTCTCATCCTGCTCAGGGGGGCCACAAATTCAAGTCTGCCTGGGCAACTCTGTGGCTTAGTGAGACCCTGTCTTGAAGAGCTGTGGCTATACCTCTGAGAAGGCCCTGGATTCAATCCCCAGCATAAAAAAATAAACAAAAAAAGGAAGAAAGGAAAAAAAGTGAGCTGGGCATAGTAGCACACGCCTGAAATCCCAGCACTTAGGAGGCTGAGGCAGGAGGATCGTTGTGAGTTCGAGACCAGCGTGGGCTACAAAGTGAGCTCAAGGTCAGCCTGAACTGCATAGCAAGACCCTGTCTCAAAAAGACCAAAAAAAAGGAAAAAAAGTGATACTGCAAGAAGAGAGGTTTTAGGGCATCTCTGTCAGTCCACGCAGGCACTCTGCATAATTAACCTTAAGAGCTGATACTTAGCCAGGCACAGTGGCACACACCTGTATTTCAGGCACTCAGGGAGGCTAAGGCAGGAGGATTGAAAGTTCATGTCCTCCCTGGGCAATTTAGCATGATTCTGTGTCAAAATAAAGCTGAGTGGGGCCAGGGATATAGCTCAGTGCACAGCATCTGCCTGGCAAGCACAAGGTCCCAAGTTTGATCCCTGGTACAAAAACAGAAAGAAAAAGAAAAAGACAGAAAGCAAGCAAGCAAGCAAGCAAGCAAGCAAACAAGCTGAGTGTAGTGGCACACAGCTGTAATCCCAGCTTCTGGGAGCCTGAGGCAAGATCACTGTGAGTTTGAGGCCAGTGTGGGCTACACAGTGAGTTCAAGGCCAGCTAGACTACATAACAAGAATCAGCCTTAAAAAAAAAAAAAAAGAAAGAAAAAAAAGAGCTGGGAATGATATAGCTAAGTGGTGAAATGCCACTGGCTTTATGCCCTCAAGAAAAAAAAAGGTAAAGAAAAGGGATGCTCAGGCCTTCTTCATTCCTCCAGCATTATTTTGTGTTGCAGTGGGCCATTACCCTGCTGCGGGAACCTCCCAGTGTCTCCCAACACCCCGCTTCCCTGCCCAATTCTGGTTAGGCTATGCCCTCCCTGGGCTCATCCCAGGACCACATTGCCTCCTGCTAGAATCAGCAGGCCCCACCCTGGTGCTGCTGGGAGGCTCAGGGCTTGTAGGATTTGGCTGGTGTCAACACCCGAACAGGGCCATCCTACTTTGTCATTCCAGGCTTTCTTAGGTGCCTGTCCCCCTTCCCTACCTGTTGTTCTGAAGCCTGATCTGCATAGGGGTCAGCCTGGCACAGGAAAGAAGATGGATGGGAGATGGGAGTTGAGGTGAGTTGGAATTCCAATTCCAATCAGGAAACTGAGGCAGAAGCTGAACCAAGCACAAGGGGCCAGTTCATCCACCAGGCTCCCCAAGCCACTGGGCCAAGAGCAGAGAGACTCTAAGCTCTGCCCCATTTTGATGGGAGCTTTCCCGGACTGGGTGTTCACAGAGCTGGTAGCCATGGGAGCTGGGGTCTCATCAGCTGATCCTTGGTCAGGAGCCCTTTCATGGATCCTCTACATGGCAGTACAGGAGTCCCTTGCCCCAGAGCCCTTTCTCAACTCAGCCTGCTCCAGATGGACATAAAGTACATGTCCCCACCTGACTCACCCCTTGGTGGCTTCTGGCATCCATCTCCCTCAGCCTGCCCCCTGAGGGCTCTGTGTGGCTGCGCCCCCACCCCCACTTTTGGCCTTTTCCTTAATGAGTAGGAAGCACTGCAGGCTCTGCCTGCTGAAATCCAATGCCTTCTTCACAACATTCACAAAGCCTGCCTGGACCTAGGACTCCCATCTTCCTCTAGGACCCTTGAGATGTCAGGCATGTGGCTTTTGGGACAGTTATTTCTGGAAGCATCTTTGTGTCAGGGAAGGGAGTGATTCTGGGTGCCCATGGCCATGGTGCTGGAAACTCACCACCCAGCCAGTGCTCACTGCTACCCACATAGCAGTGACCTGGTCTTAGGAGGGGCTGCAGACGTACCGTGCTGTCCTCCAGGTACAGCTTCTCTGCTGGGCTGCAAGATCCCAACCCAGCAGCAGGGTCCTCTGCCACCTCCACCCAAGGCTTAGGCCTGCAGAACACCATAAATGGGAGGACAAGGACTCTGGCAGCCACTGTGGCCCCTGGTGCTCTGCTGCATTTCCTCCTTTTCTTGTCTCAACTTCCCTTAGAGTCAATAGACTGGATTTTTGTTCCTAAAGCCTCTTCCACCTGCCTCAGCTACCTTGGTTCTTCATTAGCCTCTTCTCAGCTCTCCTGGCTCACTCTGTGCCCCAGGGTCTGCCTGCTTCATGTTATTCCCCCTAACAGACCCTGCAGACTCCCAGCTCCCCTACACATGTTACCTATAGGGTAGGGACCCCAAATTCTTGACTGGTTTTTTTTTTTTTTTTTTGTCTTTTTGAGACAGGGTCTCGCTATGCAGTTCAGGCCGACCTTGAGCTCACTTTGTAGCCCAGGCTGGCCTCGAACTCACAACAATCTTCCTGCCTCAGCCTCCCGAGTACTGGGATTACAGGCATGCGCCACCACGCCCAGCCCCAAACTCTTTGACTGTTGACTGACAAAACAAGTACTTCTGGCCTCTGTACAGAGGCCTGCTGCAACCCAACCTGTAGGCCTCCCGGGAGGGCTTGTCTTTGTGTCACCTTAACCAGGCCACAAGGATGCCCAGATATCTAACATTATTCTAGATAGACCTTTGAAGCTGGGCATGGTGGCGCACACCTGTAAGCCTGTAATCCCAGCACTTGGGAGGCTGAAGCAGGAGGATCATTGTGAGTTCGAGGCCAGCCTATGCTACAAAGTGAGCTCAAGCTCAGCCTGAACTGCATATCGAGACCCTGCCTCAAAAAGACAAAAAAAAAAAAAAAAGACCTTTGAGGGTATTTTTGCATGCAATTAACACATAAGTCAGTAAACTTGATTAGATAACTTAAAAAAATTTTTTTTTGTGGTATGAGCATTGAACAGAAGATATTCCCACTAAATTATATCTCCAGCAATTAGACAGGAACATGCGCACACACCCGTAATCCTAGTACTTGGGAGGCTGAGATGGGAAGATTGCCATGAGTTTGAGGCCAGCCTGTACTGCACAGTGAGTTTAAGGCCAGCCTGGGCTACATAGTGAGACTCTGTCTCAAAAAAATAAACTACAGGGCTGGGGATTTAGCTCAGTGGCAAAGCACCTGCCTGGCAAGAGCAAGGTCGTGAGTTCAATTTCTGGTACCGGAAGAAAAACAAAAACAAAAACAAAAAAACAAACAAAAAACAAAAACCAAAAAAGGACAAACATCTCCAGCCCTTTTTTAAATTTTTCAGATAGTCTCACTAAGTTGTCCAGGCTGGACTCAAACTTGCAATCCTTCTGCCTCAGCCTTCCAGAGTGCTGGGAATATAGGTGTGTACCACCATGCCCTGCTAGAGTAGCATTTTAATAGTAGAGCAGTTTTCCCTCTGTAGTGTGAGTGGGCGTCATCAAATCAGCTGAAGGGCAGAGTAGAACCAAAGATCTGACTCTCCCCCAAGTAGGGGCGGATTCTTCAACATGAGACTGTCAGACCTTGTCTACAGTGTTGACTTCCCTGCCTCCTGGGGCAGTGTCCCCAACCTGCTTGCCCAGCCCCATAGGTGGAACCTACCAGCTACTATCATCACATGGGCCCCTTCTTTCTAATCTCACTTCCTCTGGGTCCCTTTGGTTCTGTTTCTCAGGAGAACGATCAAAGGTTCCTTCTTCCTCAGGACCCTGGCCCTGCCGGTCCTAAGCAGCTGGTAACACATCAGCCCCTGGTGAGCCAGGAGGGCTAGAGGGCACAGAGGTGGCACCTCTACCTCCTATGGGATGTGCCAAACCCTGCCTACAGTACCAGCTTCTGCCCAGTCTGGGATGCCTGAGCTGAAAAGTTGCCCAGCCCTGTTTTCTGGGACCCTCAGCCCACCTGCCATAGGACTGCCAGACTCAGCTGTGTGACAGCCCTGCCCCCCCCCTCCGCCGCCGGCACAGCAGGCAGCCGCCCTCCACATGGGGCCAACGGTTAGCAGTCAGGGCACTGGGAGCTTTCAGAAACCAATTTATTCAACTTAAAGGGTCCAGAAAGAAGTGACAGGAACAGGAGCCAGTGACCTGAGTACTTGGGTGGTGGAAATAAGCCCTTTTTCCAAATATCCCCTTGGGGTTATGGGACCTGGGCTCCCAGCATTGGGCTTGGGCTCCCTGGACCCCACTGGTCCTCACATGGGAAGGTGCCTCTGGTATGTGGAGGGGCAGCAGGATACTTTCACATTTGTTTTCAGGAGGAAATAGAGTTCAAGCCAGCTGACACTGGAGGTAAGGAAGGTCCTCTTGCAGGCCTTGGCCCCAGAGGAAGCTGGAGGAAAAGGAGGCCTGAGAAGCCACCCCTGGATTGGGCTTGCACTCTGGGACCATGAAGGTTCCCAGGGGAGGTCATGTGCCCCTCCATGACTTCAACTTCAGCTGGGCCTGGTTGAGCCAGGCCATGATGGGCAGTTGCCCACTGTGGAGACACTGCATGGCCTTGTGCTAGGAGAAGCCTTGAGCCAGGAAAAGACAGCAGAACATAGTCAGGTGTGGTGGCATACACCTGTAGTCCTAGCACCTAGGAGCCTGAGCAGGAAGACCAGAGCCCAGAAGCTGGGCCACATAGTCAAGACATCATCTCAGAAAAAAAACAAGAAAGCAAGAAAAGTGAAGAGGTGGGGTAGGCAGCCAGGATGGTCAATCCTGCCCTGCTGGGGTCAGGCTGTGGGCTAATGGTTTGGCATGGCCTGAAGAGGACAGGGAGGCTCCTCCAGTGGAGTCCAGCTTAACCTTGTCCAGGACTGTCTTGATGGCAGCAGGCGAGACTGTCTCCTGGTCAGCCATGGTCTGCAGCTCCCTGCAGAGGCAGTGAGTAGTTGGGCCCAGGGTTCTTATCTCCTTCCAGAGCCCACAGTATCAGCTCACACCTGCCAGCCTGGGGCAGCACTGTGTTGTCACCCTACCTCAGGGTCTTTGCGCCTACAGCCCCCTCTGCCAGCCACACCCTGCCCCACACAGCTACACAGCTCCTGCTCACCCCATTCAAAGAGACTCAGGGTCACCATGTCTACCTATAGCATCTCCCAACCCGGAGCTCTTGCTCTAACCAGGAGGTCTCTCTGCTTCTCTGTTCTACAAGAAGTGCTGGGAGGCTGGGCCCTCCATCTAAGCCTTGCTGTCATGGGTGACACTCAGACTTCTGTGGGTATCTGCACTAGAGGACAGGCATGGTGGCACCCTGCAGACTGACACTTGGAACAGTGACTTCCTCTGACCTGCTGTAGGATCCCAGCCAGTTTGCTTCTGACTCTCAGGGGGATCTCCGTGTGCCAGGATGCTGCCCTGTGACCTGCTTACCCAACTTCCTTATCCCTAGCAAAGCCAGGAGAAAGGCATTGAGAACAGCAACCCCCCTCCTCAGGTGCTGTTAGGGCAACAAGGGGGGGCTGTAGTGCTGGGCCGGAGATGGCCTCCAGCCACATGTGCCCCGGCAACATTGCTGGGCATGGTGGCGCACGCCTGTAATCCCAGCACTCGGGAAGTTGAGGCAGGAGGATTGTTGCAAGTTTGAGACCAGCCTGAGCTACAAAGTGAGCTCAAGGCCAGCCTGAACTGCACAGCGAGACCCTGTCTCAAAAAGACAAAAAAAAAAAAAAAAAAAAAAAAAAAAAGGGGTAAGGGGCACTATAAACTGTGACCCCAGTAAGCTTGGGGTTCCTTGTGTCCTGCCCAAGGCCAGAGTAGAACTCTGTAAACATCTGACTGAGTTGCCACCTTTGGGCCCAGGTTCTGCTGTGTGTAAAACACTGAGGGGAGTGGGGAGTGGTGCCCACCGTGTACGGGTGAAAGAAGCCTCCACAGCGTTGATGAGCAGGGAGCGAAAACCCCCACTCTCCAGCACGTGCAAGGCATGGATGGTGGCCCCGCCTGGAGAGCAGACGTTGTCTTTGAGCTGGCCTGGGTGCTCCTCTGAGTCCAGTAACATCTTGGCGGCCCCCTGCAGCCAGAGAGAGGGGCTGAGGGCAGTGGGGTACATACATGGTTCTGTAGGTGCTCCTGCTGACATCGTGCCCCCTGCCTGTCACCAGCCCCACAGTTAGCAAGGAGCAGCCCCCACCAGAGGCTCAGGAGACACTGACCAGAAGGGCCTGAGCTCCCAGGCGCACTGCCAGGCGCCTGGGAAGCCCCATCTTCACACCACCATCAGCCAGGGCATCCAGCGCTGTGAACGCCTGCCAGAAGAAGGCACCCTAAGTCACCACCCTGGCCTCTCCTCCAGGTTTCAGAGCAGGAAGTAGGGTGCAGCAGGGTAAAGCACAAGTTCCTAGAGCCTTAGAGCCCCTATCCCAGCCCTGGAAGGGGACCAGGGACAGAGTTGCCCTGAGGCCCTGGGAACTGCCCACCTCCCCCGTTACTCCCAGTCTCACATAGGCAGGGCCACTGCCGCTGAGCCCTGTGACAGCATCGATCAGGTCCTCCTCAACCTCTGTACAGAAGCCCACACTGCCCAACAGTTGTTCCAGGAGCCTGGCATCCTCCTCCTTGGCATGGGTGCCCGTGGCATATACGGTGACCCCCTCCCGCACCACAACCGGGGTGTTGGTCATGCAGCGGATGACCCTGGGGGCTGCCCGATATGCCGTCAGCTTCTGGAGGAGAAATCAACTGTGTCCACCTTGGCCTTGGCCATCTGCCTTTGGCCCAGGTGGGTATGGAAACAGATCACAGCTCCAACCTAGTTCCCACCGTGGGCTGAGGTACCACAACCCATTCGGTGGAGAACCCAGCAATGGGGAACACAGCTCTCCACCGTGTCTCCACCCCCTCTCCAGGCTCTGCTGGCCTGGAAGCACCCACCTTCTCAATGGAGTTGATGGTGACACCAGCTGCACAGGACACCAAAAGGTGCCTGTCATCGATGTTAGCGCCAATCTCATCCAGGATGAAGGGGATGATGTGTGGTTTCACAGCCAGGAAGAGCACATCGCTATGCTGAACTGTCTCCTTGTTGTGGGGTGTCAGGTTCACCCCTATCTTCTATAAGTATGCAAAGCAGCTCAGCCTGCCCCAGGGGCTGTCTAGCTCCACAGAACCTGCCCTTGCACTTAGAATAGCCAGATATTGCTAGATTGTGGGCTAAGGAGATGGGGCCTGGAGCCCGTCAGCCACCCTTCCCATACAGAAATGGAGGAAGCAGTCTGCTCTGTGTGTGTCCCTTTTGCAGACAGAAAAGAAGACATTTTTGTCCAAGCCTCAGCCCTGGCCCAACTCTCATCAGGCTATAGCCTCCAGAGACCTATGCCCTTCCGCTCTGGTGGTCTCAAGTGGAGAGTACTCCCTTCTTGGATCTGAAACCCTAACTCATCCTAGCAAACTAAATGTATTTAGCCCCCAGGCAAGTCTTATCTGGCCCCCAAGCTAGGCCCATCTGCCTGACCCCTGTTCAATCTTTAACCCCATCCTGAAAACCCTATGCCCCACAAGCACCTTCTCCCACCAGCTATATACATGGCCGGCAATGGGAGCCAATGGCAGGGTTAAGAGGTAAGGTCATTCTTCTCACTGGGGCAGGGGACTACAGCACAGCCCCTTCCACTCATGGGCCATCACTATCAGGGCTGTCACATGCCCAGCTCCAAATACATGCTGTAGGGACCCAGTCTTCCATCTATCCTTCACTCGGCACCTACCCTGAGGGCAGAAACTGTGGCCAGGTCCATGTCTGGGGAGCTGGCCATTATCTTGTGAGCTGCCAGGACACCTGGGACGACAGAGTTCCTCCTTCAAGGCCATGTCTGGCCTCCCTCCCCCATATTCCAGGAAAGACATTGAAAAGAAACCCCCCCTTCAAAGACAGCAACTCCCAAAATAGGGATACTGCTTTTTCCCACTCCTGTGTCCATATAACCCACATGCCCACCTCCAGCCCCGCACAAGGGTAAAGGGGCCCAGTCTCTTTCTTGACCCCCTTTCCCAGGTCCACGGACTACCTGCGGCTGTGAAGCCCTTGGTCAGGGCAAAGGCCAGCTGGCCAGCCCCGATGAAGCCCACGCTCATGACGTCTGCAGGCCCCACACCCCTCACAGATGGCAACGGCTTTCTCTGCAAGGGGCGGCTGAGGGGCAAGCCCAGCAAGATGGACAGCAAGAAGTTAGGTGGGCATCTCCGTTCCAGCCAGCCCAACCCTCCCCGTTTCTGCCCGTCTGGCGCGCCCCGCCTGGTAACTGCCCCAGCTCCCGGCCAAGAGCACGGTCTCGGCCGGCTGCAAGGCTCCCACCCCTCGGGAAAAAGCCAGGCACCCGCAGTAGTACCGCCTGGGAATGAGCCAGCCCCTCTTCAGACCCAGGTCCCGGATCCCCCACGTCGAAACCCCCAGCCCCAGGGACTCCAGTCCCATAATTTCCACCCCAGAACTCCCAGTCCCACCCCAACCAAACTACCCAAGTGCGGCTCTCCGGTCTGCAGCGCGGCGCCCGCCACGCGGCACCCACCGGCCTCGCCTCCAAACCCGCCCCTTTGCCAATCCACGGCGCAGGTGCCGCGCTCGCCGACCAATCGGGAGCCGCAGCTGTATCCCGGGCATTGCATCACCCACTGGGGTGGTTCTCTGCTTTGTGCAGCTTCTTGGGCGCCCCTTTTCTTTCTTTCTTTTCTTTCTTTCTTTCTTTCTTTCTTTCTTTCTTTCTTTCTTTCTTTCTTTCTTTCTT